CCGGACCGGCCCGTTTGACAGTGCTAGCTTGTTCATTTGAAATCAGTAGACGTGGCATCATAGTTTCTAAACCCGGCCCGGTAATCGACTCGGGCAGGTCTCAAGTTCATCGGGTCACCGATTCAGCCATCGGGTCACCGGGTCAATTACTGAACGGGATAATTAATTTTAAAATTTTTAAAATTATATATAGAGTATTTTTGTCATATAAATATACATAAAAATAACAAAATTAAATGTTTTGTGTTTGTACATTAAAGTGTTAATAATATGTATCTCGTGATAATATTTGTCATATAAAAAAAAATAAAAAAAAAAATTAAAAAATATATATGGGCTAGGTCAACCGAGTTGACCGGGTCTTTTGTTGCCCGGTCCAAATAGCCCACCCGGACCGATTCCGACTCTGGGTCGACCGAGTTCCGAGTCGACCCGTCAGGCCAGTCCGGGTCAAAAAACTATGCGTGGTATGGCTATGGGCCCAACTTGGGGTCGATGGTTCATGAAATTGTGTACCATAAAACTTGAGGGTGTAGAGGTTCCGGATCAAGAACCCACTCGTTATGGTTCCACCCCAATTCGGACCCACTAGTTCGCGACATGTTGTAGACCGGCTAGTTCCAAGTCAGTCAAGATTCACCTTGACTGTTGATCGTGCAACAGCTATAAGATTCAACGATTGAGATTAAGTTGTAGCCATGTCGAGAACCAAATTAAAAATTCGGAATCAAATAATAAAGTATGGCATTTCATAATACTAACTATAACTTTTTATAAAAATGAATTACAGCTTAATTAGACAACTTATACACCATTTATGTGACATCATGCATGTATGTATTAGAATATCAGATGAAATTAATGAAGAATATAATAAAGTACTGCCCCTATCATATTGAATAATGTGATAAAAATATTACCAAAATAATTTATTTTAAGATGGGGTAGGACACTATTATTAGGTCTATTAGTTAAGCAAACATATTTTTCAATAAATACGCGTACTTTTGTATACAAATACATAATCTTGAAAAGAAAAATAAACAAAATATATTATGTATTTCACAATATACTTATGTATTTAATGTTAAAAGAAAATATGACGGGTCGAGTCGATCGATTCATACGCCAAGATTTATGTAACATGTATGAAATTCATCTAACCTAGTCCAGGAAGAAATTAGGAAGGCAATTGACAGCCGGCAGGTGAGTAATTAGCAATAAATACTTGGTTTGGGTACACAAGAGTGCCAAAAAAAAACTACTCCTTGGTACTACAGCCTTATACGGCATTAAAAGTGCTATTAATGTCCTTGAATACTCTCTCAAAATGAGAAATGCTACGCTGCCGTTACAGAACCATTTTATCGAGATTTGTAACTGTTAAATTATCATGTAACTGTTGGGGATAACTGATCTAACGGTTACAAACCCCGACAAAATAGTTTCGCAACGAGACATTAGCATCTCCCTCTCAAGATAATATGGATGTCATTTATGCACTGTAGCTTTTGTCCGAAAAAAGGCAAATGCTGAGCTATAGCTATAGGGAGCCAAATAAACCGACTTACAGGTTTGCTCCCTATAAACCGGTTCATCGAAAGAATCGGTTGGTGCAGTCAGCCTAGTTTTGGGGCCAAATGGTCCCACTCAAACTGAATGTCCAACTAAAAGTTTTTTTTTTTTAAAGCATTAAATGTTCAGTAATTATAAATGGAGATTCCCAACGACATTTATAGTTACAATTTACCTTAGCGTAATAAGCTGGAACTCGGTCCAGTAATAATTTCTGCAAGACGGAAATATTACACAATTAGGAAACTGCAAATAATACAGAGCACACCCATTCGTGTCATTGAAAACTAATCAACACATTCAGCAAATTTTCTGGATATTTAATGTCATCTGTGGCCATTTGCTTCCATTTCTTTCATCAAGCTGGTCCATGCGAACAATGCAGCCCCAATTGCAGGTTCCACCTAAAAAGGCGACACAGTTAACAATCTATTTAGCTTGTGATTGGAACTTGGATATGATTTTTATTTTATTTTTTTTCTGAAAACTTTTGTCTCGTCCGAAAAATAGAGTTGAAAACGTGAGAAATGTCGTTGTTGTGAGAAAAAAAAAAAAGGACAGATAATTTTGAGCCCTGAAAAAAATAGACCTTTAAAGAAAACTATTTTGTTCCAACCATCTCCGTCTCCTTGAGTTCAACTTAATCTAATGATTAAAGTTGATGCGCTATACAAATAATAAGACATCGATTTATAGTGATTGGTAGCAAGAAATATGAAAACGGGTGAACAGTATTTTTTCTGTTGGAAAATATATAAAATGGATGATGATTTTTGTTTTTTTTAATTGTATTAGCGATACCGTAAAGAAAGAAGTGAAATGCGATGAAACTTATTTTTGGTTTCAATTCACATATCAACAACATAAATCTTGACTAACCAGACAAAATTGGAACAATTTCATAAATAAATGTGTACAATCATAAAAAAAAACCTGTGGTCTAATGGGAAATGCACCCGGGAAGGCCTTCAAAATTGTGTCAGTAACTTCTTTCCCAATGTCCCATCTCTTGTTAGCTTCAAGGACACCACCAACTAAGACAACTGGAAAAGAATCACTTCCATCTGCAATAGATCAACATAATTTAGTTGTCACCACTCACTGGCAGTAGGGGGGATAAAATACTAGGCTCTCTAGGACAACTTTTAGCTTTTACTTGAAGCAAATTTTAAGAAAATCGAGGTCACACCTTCCCCAGCCAAACATAGTCGTTGAACGACAGCCTTAACACTAAGAGCCAATTCTTGGACAGCATTAATCAATATCTCGTGTGCAACTTGATCGCCATCTTCTGCACAAGATACCACGAGAGGGACTAGTGCTGCTATTCTAGCCCAAGATGAATCTGCATAGGTCCACCTAAATTCCAATAAGCAATAAAATGAAGAAAAAGATGCTGAAAACTACTTTTGTTAAGCGTAACTCCCACGAAGTTAGTTACTTCAGTCCCTTGTGCGTAAACTCTCGTACAAAAAGGAAAAAAGAAAAGAAAAAATTAAATGAACATATTTTGCCAAAAAGAATCATGGAACTTCGTTGCAAATGATATTCTGCTAATAAGTTTGATAATTGCAGGAGAAAGATTGGAGATGACAAGTAAAGGGTGTGTTTGTATATAAAATAATTCAATCATACTCAATCTATACTCAAAATCCAACTCATTTTTAACCCAACTCCACTATCCTCAATATTATCAATATAAATAAATAATATTGATCAATCATTCTTACACATCACATTTACTTTAGTTCACTATTCATCCACTCACATAATTTTAACTAATAGTCACTTCACATCATCTCCCTCCTACTTTTACATCAAATCAACTTTAATTATTTCATTTTAAATATTATTTTAATAAAAACTCAAAATTCCACTAACAACTAACAATACTACCTTTTTCAAAATTAACCATGGTTAACAAAAAAAATTCGTGTTGCGGATATATTTGTATCCAAGCACACCCTGAATAACTAAAATAACTGTCATTTATCACCCATCTAAGTAGTTTCCATGACGATATGTAAAGTAACGACCCCTAACTCAAATTCACGTTAAACCAAATGGGGATGCTTAATATAAGTAGGTACTTCGGCATATATTTACAGAATATGTAGAAGTTAGAACCCAGAAAACAAGCATGGAAAGTATGATGAGGAAATAAAGTCAAAAGGAAGATACCCTATGATCTCATCTGGTGAGGAAAGATCAAGCGATTTCAACAAACAATTTGTAAGCATCGTTTTCGGGCCACGTCCATCATGAGCCTTCACCACTGCTGTCAGTGCCTGAGAAGCGATTCCGTAACCACTGAAAACAGCAACAGGATATCGATCTAACTGGTGACGATACAAATATACTATTTAGAACCATACACTAACCGTAAGATGTATTCTACATATTACCTTTCATCACAGACTACTTTATAAATAAGAAATGAATAGATAAATATGAAGGGGGTGATTGTTATGGATTCAACTAATTTTTATTTGGTTTGTTTTTTAACTATAGCTAATTTTTAAAAAAGGTGGTACGGTTAGTTGTTAGTGGATATATTAAAATAATTTTTAAATAAAATGATTAAAGTTGATTTGATGTAAACTAGGAGAAAAATGATTGGAAGTAATAGTTAGGTAAAATTGTGCGAGTGGATAAATAAAGAATTAAAGTTGATGTGATGTGTAAGAATGATTGGTTGATATTATTTAATTATATTTATAATATTGAGAATGGTGGGGTTGAGTTAAATTTGAGTTTTGATTGGGTTTTTTTTTAGTTAAATTAATAAACAATCACCCCCGAAATGAAAAATGAAGCGCGTACATCGTAAAACTCTATAACCTAGCTTTTGTAATGTTCACTCTGAAGTCTGAAAAGTTCATCGAAAAGTTTCTGGCAAAAGATCTTCAAAGTTATTTCTAACTGGATTCATTAATTTCCATTATATATGCTAACACCAAGGCAATCCAGATATAACAGATGCAAAAAACTCAAAATAATTACATTGAAGCCTTTTTGAGTGTTTCCCTCATTTGTGGATTGTTAACGTTAAAATATACTAGTACAATACCCGTGTATTACACGGGTGCTTGTTAAAAAATTATTCTTAAATTTTAAAATTAATGAGAAAATTATATTAAATTTAGTTTATTTTTTTACAAAAAAAAAATATATTACTATATATTTTAGAATGATATGTGTTACTTATAACTTACATGTGTTATATTATATTAGTTTTTATAACTTATATCATATAACTACTTGAAATATAAATATATTAGTTGATAAATAATTTTATTTTTCTAATTAATATTAAAAATAATTTTATTATTGTTATAAAGATAAATATAAATTATTTTTTTTATACATATAATATGGATGTTAAATCGAAGCTTATCAAAAGAAGATTAATTTGATATATTACATATGTAAAACTGATAAAAAATACAAAAGTTATTAACTTTTAAAATATATATACAATTCAATAGTTATAATAAGGAATGATATTAAAATACAATTAATACATGTAACATGACCATAAATAATCAACATATTTATGGTAATCCGAACCTAATTATTTTTGGTTTGGAATTAAATTAAAATTTACCCAAGCCTAATAACGAAGCATGTAATTTTGCCACATAGGATTCCGAAGCACCAGAAGCAGCCACGTAGGCTCAGCGCATTCTGTATTAATATATGGGGGGATTTGCGTGTTTACATAAATTGGCAATTGATAGATAGGTTATCAAGGACCTGAAACAGATCCCGGCTACTGACTAGAACAACTCCATTAAGGGCTAACCTGTTGAGTAGATTACATAAACATGATCTAACGCATCAGTATATTACTGAAAAATATGATGAAACACTTCATGGCTCATCAGACCAGGACCAATAGATAAAGTATTATCTAACCCAAATTAAACTTACATACTGAATTTACCTGCCCCAGTCACCTAATATAGGTCCTGCACCCGCAGCACGAGCTTCTCTTCCATCTTCAGCAAATCCATAAGCAATGCACCCAGTACCAGCTATCAAAACACAGCCATGTAGTTTCCCCATTGTCCCACTAGCAAGAGCTGCTACAGCATCATTTTTTACGTATATCTTTATATTACCAGGAAAAATACTCCTGCACATATATAATAAAGCTCAATAAATGCAGACTATTTATTGTTCAGGATCAGCACACACTGCGCAATTTTTTAAAATGACTGTGGCTCCAAAGTTTTGTGACTAGATTATTGCGGTAAGAAGTTATAACAAACTTTAACTTCACAACTATCATTCGTTTATTCCACGATGCTTCTTCCATCGAGGTCTTAGTGTACCATCGGTTATAAGCCTAGGTGGATCTTGGACCTTGCCAATAAGGAACAAGAAAGCAATTAAATAAAATACTCACTGACCATTGATTCATTTTCACCTTTGCTTTCAGTCAATTACATACATGAAAAAGTTACCAGAAAATTGACCTAACTATAATCCCAAATACGAATGTACTAATGGTTTTAGTTCAGCCTCTTACTCTCCGATTCTGTTTTAACCTCTAGCAATTACGGATTTCAGAGTCGCAAAATCCAAAAAGTCGTAGCTTACAGTTGGCAAAACTTATCACAATGGAACAAAGGGATTTACCAGAATACAAAGAGAACAATACCTCATCCATATCAATATTCTCTCCTGATCCGATGGATGGTTCACACCAGAAACCCCTAAGCAAACAGCAAGAACTGCTGAATGATTCTTTCCAGCTGTTGAAAGTGCCTCGCTTATAACATGTTCAAGTGTTTCTCTAGCAGCTTGTTCTGCAAGACCCAACTTCAAATAAGATGAACAAAATCATAGACGCAAACAACATAGAAACTAAGGATTATTCTGTCCCATTAAGATAGTAATATGTCAAGTAAACAAAAAAATAATAATAATAATAATAAAAAAAACGAATTCAGTCCATGGCTCCATGTAAATGTGGTTCGAGATCAGTGTTAAAATGTTGTTCATTTCCAAAAACATTACTGCTGGAACTGATTCCACATGAAACCAAACCTTTGTTTCCGATTTTTCTAGGTAAATTTACGGACAAGACTAGGCACCATTTTCGCAATATTGAGTGCCAGCAAGCTATATCTCGAGCACATGTTTATATTTGGCTTCAATGGGAAAAAAATGGAGCAATTAACACAACTTCACAACCAAGAACTACGAGATCGCCCCCTTCATTCAGGGGTGTAGTGTTCGTTTCATGCATATTGAGAAACAACACGAACAGAGAACATTAAAAATGAGAATAGCCAGAAAGTGGAGTTTTTTATCACAAGTAAATTGTATATCCTAGTTGCTTAATTCGAGTCTAATTGCCGTTTGGCAGCTAGACATGGCAACAAACAGAGTGGAAACATGAATTCCTCATCGGCCACAAGTCATTAACAACAAACACTAGAGTTGATGAGTTCCATTCCTAACCACGTCAAAGAAACTCGAATTGCAAATCTATGCCATGAGATACATCAACAAACGAAACAATCAATCGTCTTCCTAGTAAAAGTGATCAACGAATTATACAGTTAGGCGTGTCCTGAAACAGTACAGACCGCGTAAATTTGATAATTGAACACATCAAGCCACCATTCACATTTCGAGCATCGAAATTCCATCTCTATCGGCGACAATTAGGGGAGAAAAAGTACCTCCAACGCTGTTGTGGTTGGAGCAGCCGGCAGCGGCGCGGCCGAGAACGGGGAGAGGATCGGGCAGCTGGGGGCGCTCGCACAATGGGAGGAGAGGCAGGCAGACGCAGACAGTGGATGTGGCGCCGCCGTCAACGCCCAAGACCACCGCCTCCTCGAAACCATTGGGATCGTCGGAGTCGAACCCCATTAAGCCTGTGCTCTGTTTGTGTGTGTGTGTGTTGCTATGTGTATGGTTTGTGATTAGTCCATTGGTGTTGTGGAGAAGATGGAAAGGGTCGAATCTCGTTGGAAATAGAGTCAGCGAGTAGAAAAACATAAACCACGCATTTCGTTTATGGTAATTAACAAGTGACTCTGAGTATTAACAAATCTCAATAAGCCAAATTAAAAAAAAAAAAAAATTAAATAAATGTTTTTGTTTTGAAGTCTTGTCTGCCTCGTTAGCTAAACGAGCTCGAATACAGATCCTTTGTCTAACAAAGCGAGTCGAGTTGCTTAGGTTGTGACAAAAATTTTATGGAGTCATCCATAACTTTATGTATTGACATATGACCAATATATATATATTGCATGACACGTGTCAATACATCATTGGTGAATAACTATGGATGCCTCCATAAGTCGAGTCAGCTAGTCGCTCCATAGCAAAAACCGTAGGCTATGATTAGAAATAATTTTATATTTTTGTGTTGCTGCCTTTTTTCGGAAGTGAACGTCCTTTGTGACCTACAAAAACCCTCGCACCAAAGGAATTTTCTAGTGAGGAGCCTTTGATGATTAAGTTAGCACAATGAATAAGATGATGTGTTTTATCACTTTATGTATGTAGAGAATATAGAGAATTTACGTGACAATGGGTACACCTCACTCTCTTATAGAGGGAGTTGATACTTTGTTGTCCAAGACTGCCCGTTCGTACTGCTCGAACTGTCCGATCTGTCTGCCCAATTATGTTAGGCAACGTAGCACTATCTATGTGTGGTCTTTATCTTTATAGTATTTCTTCTTATCCGTTAGTCTTTCTTATTAGACCGCCCAATCGTGCTATCAACTCGAATCATGTTGAGGTAGAATGTTGCATGTACCCAGGCTTATGTATTGTCCTTCTGGTCGATTACACGACCAACTGTACCTTCAAGTCGAGTTTCCAACAAGCCATCCGAGACCATAACTTGATTGTCGTTGTCCCTTTGAGCCCCTCATGTCTTCTTTGACCTGGATACTCCTTGTTCTGTATTGGCGTTCGACCTCGGTTCGACCTTCTTGCGGCTATGCTCGACCAACCGGTTCGCTTGACCTGGTCTGCCGGTTTATTGGGTTTGCTATACCTAATGTGGTATCTCATATCAATATATGTATATTATTTTTTACAAAAATATGATTTGATACAAAATTTTAACTTTTATTCACTATTTATCTAATCCAACTTTACACTTATCAATATTACAAATATAATTATATGATATGGATAAATCATTATTAAACTTTTTTTTTAAATCACTATTCGTTCACCCAACTAATTTTAACTATCAATCATTACGAATTTATATCACAATAATATTAATCACTACATTTGAACTCATATTCACTCACAAATTCAACATCAAATCAAAATTTCCAATCAGGTTCTTTTTTTTAAGAATTATCTTACTTTATCCAATATATCAAATTCAATTCAGAAAAATCATTTATAATCGTCATCAATACCTAAAACTAAACTTTAACGAACTGAAATATATAAAATTATATAAATAACCTTATTTTTATGTATTAACGAGCTGAGTCTGACTCATGGTTGCTAAAATGACCTTTTTAACGAGCTCGAGTTATATTGTTTTATTAAACGAACTTAATTTTGACAGGGACCCTTAAATGATTATGACAAGCATGGAGTATTGTAAACGAATTGAACCGAATCGAGCTTATGTTGTTTGAAGTCATGTTCGTTTACGTTTGAACAATGTTAGTGTTCGTTCGTTTATCTTTCGAGCACACATCGTGTTCGAGCTCGTTCGTTTAATTGTTCATCAAAGTTCGAATTCGTTCGTGTTTGAATAAATTAATACATAAATTGTTTAAATATGTTTGATTACCTTAAAATTAGTTCGTTCGAACTCGCTCGAACTCATAAATAAAATAACAAAATAAAATATTTTTATAATGTAGATTTTTTTATTAAAAATATTATGTAAATATATAAAAAAATAAAATTATATTAAGCTTTAGATGATTTATTAATAATATTATGTAAATATATATAAGAAATAAAATTATATTATATTATATATTGTTCGCGAACATAATCGAGCGTGGACGAACAAGCACGTGTTTATTCGATTATTAAACGAGCCTAATTTTTTTTCGAACACGGCTCGATTAACAAACGGACGAGTTTTTGTCGAGAGTTTGAACGAGCTTTTGCCCGTGAACGTTCGGTTTGTTTAAAGCTTCAGGCACGGATATTATTGAAAGTCAGCACACATGTAGGCATATCCAATTCCATAGTTTATATTGCTATGATTTATGAAAAGATGAATTAAAGGTAGATAATTTGATTTCAAAATTCACATGTTTGTATTTGTAAAGCAATTTGTGTATATACCTTCGATTCGTTTCGATTGTTTATGAAATTAAATGCTTTTTTAACAATAACTTGTGTTTATCCGTTGTTAAAACATGAAACATTTTATTGTTACACAATATAATTAAGAAGACATAATTTTTTTTTCAAGTAGTATTTCGGCCATAACAGGACAAATCGAAAATTATTATATTAATC